AATTGCTTAACTTGTCTAAGCCTCAGTTTCTTCATCTGTAAAATGGGCCCAATCTTGCATGGTGGTAATAGGAGGGTCAGTGGTAATGCCAAGACTTGAACCCCAAGTCTTTCCTTAGAGACCTGGCAAAAAGACAACCCCCTGACTGCAGCAGGGGATGGGGGGTGGGGGGCAGGGAGATGGGGCCGAGAGCTGCTCACCATTAAGGTAGAGACTGTCTTTGTCCAGAGAGTAAGGGCCCAGCCGGGTGATGCCATGGGTCTGCTGGCTCAGCTCATGGAACACTTGCTTGGTAGGCAGACCTGGGCCGCTGGGGGACTGCAGGTAGGTGCAGAGGATGTCCACTCGTGTCTCAGTGCTGTTCTTCACAGACCTGAGGAGGGAGAGGTGCACCTTTGGGGGATGAAGGCCACCTGGCACCCCTCCACTTGGGGTCACTGCACAACTCATAGTCCATGTTTTGGTCTCATTGACAATTTGCAGTTTCTCTACCTGGCCTTCTCTATCGTCTCAGGATCTTTGCACTTGCTGTTACTTCTGTCTGGAAGCCTGTCCCCATTTCTCCTTACCTGGAAAACTTCCTGGTCATCCTCCAGGTCTCAGCTTAGAGGTCTCCCTCCTCCCTCCCCCTCCTTCCCCTCCTCCTCCCCCTCCCCCTCCCCTTCCTCTCTTCCTAGGCAAGGTCAGGAGCCTCATGTGGGTCCCACAATCCTTTACTCTTCCCCTGTCACTGCCCTGGTCACCCTCTATGCAATCATAAATTATTTATTCCTGTTCCTTCCGGAACATGGCCTCCACGAAGGAGGAAATAAACCAGTTTAGCTTACTCTTACTATATTGAAGCCCTAGAACCTAGCAACCCTTGACAACTCCCTGCAAACATCAAAGTGCTAATGAATGGAGAAACTAAATACAGCATGGACATCAAAGAGACACCTGCATGTGTATGTTTACTGCAGCACTCTTCACAATAGCAAAGATATGGAACCAGCCTAAGTGTCCATCAATAGAAGACTGGGTAAAGAAAATGTGGGGTGTGTGTGTGTGTGTGTGTGTGTGTGTGTGTGTATACGTTCAGTCATAAAAAGAATGAAATCATGTCTATTGCAGCAACATGGATGGAATGGGAGGCCATTATCTTAAGCGAAACCACTCAGCAATAGAAAGTACAATACTGTATGTTCTCACTTATAAGTGGGAGCTAATGGACTCCATGTCTATCAGCTCAAGGTCAAATACCATCTGTTCTCACTTGTAAGTGTGAGCATGGATGCCAGGTCCATGTACACATGGACATAGAGTGTGGAATAATAGACACTGGATACTCAGAAAGGTGGGAGAGTGGGAGAAGGATGAGAAGCCTCACTTAATGGGTACAGTGGACACGATCGGGTGATGGGTAAACTAAAAGCTACTGTCTGGAAATCTACTGTCTGCAGACTTCACTATGCAATATATGCATGTAACAAAAACTGCGCTCGTACCCCTTAAATCCACTTAAAAAAAGGAATGGTAAGATTAAAAAAAGATATAGCCCACCCCAACCTGAGGGGGCCCTCACAGTCAGAACTCTAAGTTCTTGGTGGTGGGCTGTGGGTTGGGCAGTTTCTCACCTTAGCGCGATGACCCTGCAGCCTGTGTACCGTGCGCCCAGGCTGCTCTTCTGGAACAAAGGACTGAGCTGCAGAGAGAGAGGGGAGCGCAGGTTGGCAGAGGCAGGCAGGCAACAGCCCTAGGATGGACATGGCAGGGCTGCAGGGGGAGGCAGGCCTCTCACCAGGTGTTGCATGAGGCTGTCTGTGATGTTGAACTTGAGAGAGCCAGGCTGGCCCATGTCCGCCATATAGCGCAGGTTGTTGATGGTGAAGTTCAGTGTGAACGGCTCTTTGCTGAGCTCCCCGGCTAGGGCTGGGGGAAGAGAGAGATGAAGCTCTTTTGGAAAGGATGATGGGTGGGTGGAGGGTGGTGTGGGATAGGGTGGGGGCAGTGTGTTCCAAGGACCCCATGTCCACCTCTCAATAAACCCAAGGGTGACTTTTAATGTTGACAACTCCAGCAGCCAGCAAAGGTGTGCTTAATGATTTGGGAGGTCCAGTGCACTCCTTCTACCCAAATGCAGGAAGGGAGGATTCTGTAAACAGTACTGATGGTTCTGATCTTTCCCAGGGGAAAGGCTCCATATTGCCACACTGACGCAGAAGGGATGACTCCAGACATTTTCTAAAAATTAATAAATATTATCTCTCTCTTTCCCTCTTGACCCGTTGATTCTTCTCTGCCTTTCTCCCATTTCTCTCTCTCCCCGGCACTCTCAGCCAGGTATGCTAACCTGCTATGCATTGGTTAAGACAGCCAACAATCCTTGCAGCCATAACCAACCTCTCTGCACCTCGGTTTACTCATCTGTAAAATGGGATAATGACAATGGCTCACAATAATGAATCCTGCCTCAATGGTTGTTATGGAGCTTAAAGAAGTTAATCTTTGTAAAGCATATAAGCACTGCTGGGCACACAGGTCAATATGGTGTATATGTTTATTATATAAAATGTATCAGCAAATGCTTTCTAATCACTCCCTCTGTGTGGAACTTGGGTGTAAGTATGAGCTAAGGTTTAAGACAAACCTCTGGAAGAAAAGTTTACCTCTCCTTCTCTCCCTGCCTTTCTTCTTTTCATCACTCGTGAACTTCCTTCTGTTCATTCTTCCTTCTCTCCTTTCCTTCCATCCTTTCTCCTTTCCTTCCGTCTTTCATTCTATTAATGCATCCTTTCTTGCTTGCTTCCTTCCTTTCATTGTACCTTCTATCATCTGTCTATTCTTCCTCCTCCTTCTCTCACTTCTTTCCTTCCTATCACCCATCCATCCGTTTATCCATCCATCCACCCATTCATCTATCCATCCATCCACCTACCCACCCATCTGTCCATCCATCCATCCATCCACTCACCCATCCATCCATTCACCCATCTATCCATCATCCATCTATCCATCCATCCATCTATCCATCCCTTCACCCACCCACCCATCTGTTCATCCATCCATCCATTCACCCATTCATTCACCCATCCAGCAATCTATCCACGCATCATCCATATTTCCTTCATTACATCTTCTTTTCTTCCTTCCATCTACTTATCCATCTTTTTTCCTCCTTTTTTCTCTCATCCATTTTTCTTCCTTCAATTCACTCATTCATCCTCTTTCCCTTCCTCCTTCCATTCATCAGTTCTTCCTCCCAGCTGTCACTCCTTCCTTCCATCCAACTACCTTGATTTCATTCCATATATATGGAATGCTACAGTACTCCAGGAACATTTAAAGAGCTGGATAGTGATAAATAAAACACATTCAATGGAAATGACATTTTTTTTTTTTTGAGACGGAGTTTCACTCTTGTTGCCCAGTCTGGAGTGCAATGGTGTGATCTCAGCTCACTGCAACCCCCGCCTCCCGGGTTAAAGTGATTCTCCTGCCCCAGCCTCCTGAGTAGCTGGGATTACAGGTATGTGCCACCACACTCAACTAACTTTTTGTATTTTTAGTAGAGATGGGGGTTTCACCATGTTGGCCAGGCTGGTCTTGAACTCCTGACCTCAGGTGACCCACCTGCCTCAGCTCCCCAAAGTGCTGGGATTACAGGCATGAGACACCGTGCCTGACCGAAGGTGACATTAACTCATGTTTCCTTCTACCATTTGAGAAAAGATGATCCCTGGAACTGATGGAAACGAGTGAGTTCCTTGGGGGAAAGTGAGTGGGAAATGTGAGAAGTAATTGGGTATGAATTACTTTGTAGGAGTGATTTTGGTATCAATAAGAGCCTGTCTGTGGTCCTGGTTGGGAGGGATGGAGCCAGTGAGGGTGCTGGAATGGATGGGTGGTCACAGCTGCCAAGGAAGTAAACACCAGGAATAAAATCCTAAGTGTGTTACATCTTTCAGGGAAAGGTGGCAGTGGTGGTGGCTCTTGTTATAAAAGTTTGTGCTTCTCTGTGTTCCATTCAGCCAGGAGTCAGAGCACCATCCCTGGGTGTGTGTGGTGGGGGGATGGAGAGATGGGGAGGGTGGGAGATTGCTGCAACCTCCAATTTAACCCACATTTCTATACACCTCCTCTGCACTCTTTTCCATCTAAAGTGTGGGTAGCAGAAGAAGGGGTTTGCTGTCTGAGCGCCTTCTATTTTTTTAGGGGAAACGAGGTGGTCACAGACACACAGAGATCTGGAATACTCACGGCTGGCCGTGGTGCTTGAGCCCGGATGGCTGTAACCTGCAGGGACAGAGTGCGATGGTGAGGAAGGGGGAAGGGGAGTGATCTTCTATGAAGAGGCAACTTGGCTATTGAAGAGTTGGCCATTCTAGAGATGGTGCGTTAGTGGCTGGACCATCGTAGCTGTGATTTATTAAAAGGAAGACAGAGCCCCTACCCGACATAGATTAGAGTCTACTCCCTCATCCATTAATGCATCCCAGAGAGACAAAGACTTTTTTCAACGCACTCTGATGTGAGCTCAGGTGGAAGCTGCACTAGGTGCAGGTGCAGGGACCAACCGCAGCAGATTGCACTCAGTGGGGAAGAGGTGGAGACTCACACCCCAGCACGGCCCTCTACTGTAGACATGGTCACAGCAGAAGCCGGTGAGAAAACACCCCAAGCACTTGAGCTGGGGACTCCATTATCTTGGAGGTGCCAGGCAGGAGGTGCATACATCTGGGGCTCTTAGCGGGTATAGTCCTTGTTTGTTCGAGGCTGGAGGTGGGGAGAAGAGAAGGCAGTGGACTCTGGCCTCTTCTGTGCCTAAGGGCTGGGACTCAGGTGGAGGCAGCTTACAGGGTTGTAAAGACTTGTAAAGCCTCAGCATACTCACAGATCTGTTGGGTATAAACTGCACAGGTGCAGGGAGACAGGCTGGGTAGGAGGTGGGATGAGGAAGAGAGAAGAATAAAGAGGGAGGATGTGGGACCAGCGGAGCTGCAAAATGGATGGTAGCCACTCACCATTGACAAGGAGACTGTCCCTGTCCAGGGTGTAGGGGCCCAGCTCAGTGATGCCATGGGTGAGCTGGCTCAGCTCCCAGTACAGATGCTCTTTGTCCAGTCTAAAGCCTACGGGGTTGGGGTGGTAGGTGCAGATGGCATCCACCTGAGTGGCTGTCGTCTTCTTCTTGGGCCTGGGGAGGGTAGATGAAGGGAATGAAAACAAATGGATTGCTTAGGAGGAGGTCCTGAGATTCCCTGAGGTCATAACACGAAGAGGCCAGAGAAAATCAAAAGCCTGGTAGAGAGGTGAGAAGCCAGACTTAGATTCTCTGAGTGCACCAACTCCCAGACAGCTTGGGACAGTGAGCAGAGTCATGGATACAAATTTTCATTAAATTGCAAAGCCCAAACCTGCATGCTCTGACATGGGGACAGGAGAGCTTATATTTGAGAAAGGGGAAGAGTTGGAATTGGGGATTAGAGCAAGCGGAGAAGGTGTATTTGTCTTGAGAGAAATCCTGGGGACAGATTCATGCACATGGATACAATGCCCTCATTGGTAAAAAGAGCAGCAGGAGGGGATTCAGAAGAATATGATAAGGGTAGGGGTCCAATCCTGGACCCTGCAGAATCTCTCAGTTGAGATCAGCCCTGCAGAATCTCTCAGTTGAGGTGGGCAGGTGATAGGACCAGGAGACAAGCTGGTCCTGGATCCAGCACCTCCTGACTGCTACCTCTGCTGAGAACATGCACAGGGAGGATAGGAAGGAAGAAGCCCACTGGAAACACTTGGGAAGGCCATATTGGCTATTCTGAGGTCTCACCTGAGCAAGGCCAGTCTGCAACCAGAGTACAGAGGACCAACACTGGTGTTCTTGAACAAGGGGTCAAGCTGCAAAAGACAGGGAGAGAGGAGAAAGTAGTCAGAGAGGTAGGGCAATATGGTTATCTGTGGATGGGAGGGACAGCAGTGGGTGTGGCAGGAATGAGGTGGTGGGTGTGGCAAGAGTAAAGTGGGCAGGGCAGGAGTGAGGTGGGTGGGGCAGGAGTGAGGTGGGTGGGGCAGGAGTGTGGTGGGTGGGGCAAGAGTGAGGGGTGTGGCAGGAGTGAGGTGGGCAAGTGTAAAGCTTAGGCATGGTAGAAGTAAGGCAGGTGTGGCAGGAATGAGGTGGGCAGAGCAGGTGTGAGGTGGGCAGGGCAGGTGTGAGGTGGGCAGGGTGGGAGTGAGATGGGTAGGACAGGAGTGAGGTGGCAGGAACAGGAGTAAAGTGGGCATGGCTCTCACCAGGCGCTGAAGCACCTTCTCTGTGTTGTTGAAGATCACGGAGTATGAAGGCAGCATGTCTTGCCTGTACTCCAGGTTGGTGATGGTGAAGGTGAGGGTGAACAGCACCAGGGGTGGTCCTACGGCTGCAGCAGGGAAGGGAGAGGAGAGGCCAGACTGAGTCATGTCTGGGAGAAATATAGGGCATCTCGCATGTGTGTCTTGAAGTGTTGGGGAGGGTTTCCCTCCAGGGTGGGCAGTTTCCTCAGGGAGGAGACCCCAGACATCAGCCTTAAATGAGAAGTACTAGAAATAAGTAAAAAATTGCACTCGGTCAATAGATACATCGCCAAGGAGAAAGCAATAATCTCTGACCCTTCAGTTGGCTAAAATTCCAGACAGACATCCTTGTTTTTTAATTCTTTTAACCCAAATTGTTTGAGATCCACACATTTGTTGATTGTTTAAAAAAACTGAAGAGACACTTACATTTTGCATTTTTTATGTGTCAGGACCTGTTTTAAGTGCTTTGCTTACATTTTAACTCATTTAAACTTGGAGGCAAAATCTTTAGAGGGAGACAGTACTATTTTTTTTTTTTCTTTTTTTTTTTTT